GTTTCCTCCTCTGTAAAGCGGGGATAATGCTAGCACCTAACTTCCACGGTGGTTGTGAGGATCAGTTGAGATAATATTTGCAAAAAAGTGCTTAGCACAGTGCTTGGCACAGACTAGGTGCTTTATAAACGCTTATTTGCTCCCCTTGAATATTTGAAGGACAAATTGTTCTGCTTGATCTTGGAGGAAAGAGTTAGGACCAATGGGGACGAGTTACAAGTCGGCAGATTTCAGCTCCATGTGAAGAAGTTTCTAACATTTAGATTTGTCCAACTATGGGACAGACTATCTAGTAAAGTAGTGAGTTCCTTGTTGCTTGAGGTATTCAAGTCACATAGCCATCTTAGAACATGGATTCAGGGCTGGAAGGGACTGCGGAATCATTGATTCCAATCTCTTCATTTTATAGCTGAGGAACTTGAGGTACAGAGAATTTTGAGTGACTTGCCCAAGTTCTTACAACCTTACTGGGGACTGTTAGTGCCAGAGGAATACCACTCTAAAAAGTGATCAGAAGAATGTGATATCAGGGCTTTCCAACTTTATGGTGGAGTTTGACAATGTTATTATGAAATCTGGGGGAGGGGCACTCTCATGTGGGGTAGAGGCACTCTCCCTAGAACAGAAATTCCTTTTTTTTTTTTTTTGGTGAGGCAATTGGGTTTAAGTGACTTGCTCAGAGTCACACAGCTGGTGAGTGTTATGTGTCTGAGGTCAGATTTGAACACAGGTCCTCCTGACTCCAGGGCCAATGCTGTATCCACTGTGCCACCTGCCTACCCCCTAGAACAGAAATTCTTAACCTTTTTTTGTATTATGGACACTTTCAACAGTCTGATGAAACCCTGCTCAGTATCATGTGTTTAAACAAATAAAATAAAGTACAGAAGATCACAAAGAAAACAATTATATTAAAAAACAGTTCTCGAAATACTAAAAAATACAAGTTCATAGACCTTTGCTTAAGAACAAGAGAATTCTGCTCTCATTGTCTCTGCTTCAACATCCCTATTTTCTGTTAAGAGTGGGCAGTCTTGGCTTCATTTGCCTCAGGAGTATATATCATTCAAGGATGTGTTAAAGAAATCCAGAGGCTTTGGGATATCATTTACAGATGCTGCGGGCTCTGTGTTTTGGGAGTAATCTTTTACCCTGAGTAAGTGGGAGCTGGCTCTCCTTATGCCAGGGCGGAATTGGCCCCAGCTGATGGATGGGACTGTGCCAAGCCAAACCGTATTAAATAAGATGAGCTTTGGGATTGCAGCACCCACCTCCACGCCCACCACCTCCTCAGGAAACGGCGAAGGAAAATTAAGACTTTTTTTAGGGGGGGGATGGTAAAGGTAGTTTATTTGGAATCTCCTGAAATTTTCTACAAATGATGGAGAAAAATGCAAACAATTTAAGTTCGGCTGTGCCCTTGGGAAGAAATTTGACTTTAGAATGGATGCATCTGGTTTTATAAAAGAAGGGACCAGTTTTTTTTTTCTGTCTGAGCAGGTGATGATAAATGATGAAGGGTAATATTTCTGAAGAAAGACCCAGACAGTAGTCGCCTTGTATGGTGGCATCATGTAACCCCCTTGCTTAAGGACCCTAATGCTGACTGTTTCACCTCTAAACTTCTCTTTTTTGTCCTTCAAGACCTTTCTCAGCCCCTCCTTCTGCAGACTCTCTTGCCTGGCTGCTTTGTCAGCCCACCCCTGAATATAACTTGCTTGTACTTTTATGTATCTGAATAGCTCCTAGTCTCTGCCCCGAAGCCCCTCTTCTTTCCTCAGTCTATCCTCATCCTGCTTCCCCTTCAAAACCTGCCTCAAAACTCACCCTTTCCAGGAAGCCTCCCTAGCCCAAAGCAACTTAATCATGTTCACTCTCGGTAGATGGGCTCACAGTCTAAGTTGGGAATCAAGAGCCTAGAACACACCACTTAAAAGGTGTTCAGTCTCATATCACAGTTAATCCTTTAGCCTCTGTGTACTTTATGCTTCCTTGTTTCTCAAATGAAGATAAGAACCCTCCTGACCTACTTCAGAAATGGTGTTGGGAGGTGAAAATAGAGGTGACAGGGGTTTGAAAAATTAGAAGTGTGATATGTGATTGCAAGAGAGTATTACTGCCTTGGTGGTCCCCTAGACATTCAGTGCTCAGCTTATTTTGTGCCCTATCTCACACTTGCCAATGGATTTTGCTTTGCAATTATGCTTTTATTATTTCTGTTATAACCAGAGGCAGAAGTTTTTCTGCCTTTGTAGTTTTTCCCAGCTAGGGCATCAATTCCTTGAGAACAAGGAATGGGTCTTCTCTCTTTTCTTTTGTATTTCCCTATAATACATGGTAGAGGCAGCCAGGTAGTGCAGTGAATAGAGCACTGGGCTTGGAGTAAAGAAGACCTGAGTTCAAATCCAGCCTCAGAAATTTTCTAGCTATGTGACTTTGGGCAAGTCACAACCTTTGTTTGCCCTTGGAGAAGGAAATGGCAAACCATGCCAGCATATTTGCCAAGAAATTTTCGAAGACAGTATGGTTCATGGAGTCACAAAGAGTCTGACAAGACTGAACAATAATAATACATGACACTGTCCGGTCTTCAGCAATCAGTATCTAAGAAACACTGACTTAACTTCATTTAGCTTGGAAAAACAACCAAACATCCATCTCAGATAATGGGCATCAGTATCTCAAAGGCTGGCTTCCTATGTGCCCTCACTGCCCCGATCAATAGCTCTGGCTGCAGGTGGTTTATCTCATAAATGTGATTGCACTTTCATTCTGCTATCTCAATATTACTGATCCAGATCTGTAGGCTGGGGGCCTTAAATGTGCTGGGTCTTTGGACCACTCACCAAGAACCCTGCTCTTACTCACCAATAGGAGAGAGGAAACCCTCATCATCAGTTCATTGGTTTAGAGCTGGAAGGGTTTTACAGGTCATCTGGTCCAAACCCCTCAGAAACTGAAGTTCAGAATGGCTAAATGACCGGCCCAAGGAAGTAGGTGGCACAGCTTGGGATCTGAACCCACATCCTCTGACTTCAAATCTAGGGCTTTTATGACTCCCCCACACTGCGTCTACCAGCTGAATGAACGGGGGAGAGTGAATGCTTTGTTTGAGACACCCAAAAAGGGGGACCATAAGGGAACAATGAATTCATGCCAGAGGCTCAAGTACAGACCCTTTCATGATATAAATAATAAACAACTAGCCCAGGGCCTCAAGGAGAACCGGGCAACTAGGTAAGAAATCCTGGTTTGAGAACAAAGACAGTCTCCCATTAAATATGTGGAAGAAATGCCGGAATTTGGCTTGACGGTAATGGGAAACCTCCAAAGGGAGAGAGGACAGAGGTGTAGTAGGTGAGTATAGGAACACAGATTTAGAGCTGGGAGAGACTTTAACTAACCCCTTCATTTTACAGGTGGGGAAACTGAGGCTCAGAGAGTTTATGTCAAATGAGATAATATAGAGGTTATATCAAATGAGTATTTCAACCTGGCACAGAGTAGGCCCTATCTAAATTCTTATTTATTTCCCCCTTCCCTTATGTGACTTGTTCCCTGTAAGTCAGGATTCTAATTCTGGTTTTCCATTTGAGAGGAAAAGGGAGAGCGTCAAGTACATTCAGCTCTGTCTGGGATTTATCACTTGCATTAATTTCCCAGTGGATGGGTGAGGTGTGTATACCTTTTCTTTGGTTTCTCCATTCTTCTCCATTCCCACTCTCCCAGTCCATCACCTATAACACTTTCCTAGATGACTATCTCTGCCTTCAGTGCTCTTTGCATTGTATGGTGCTGCTTCCTTACTAACTCTGTTCCTAAGCCCCAAGTTTATGACTGCCACTAGCAAACAGCTGTTCAGAGTCTCAAAGCCCCAATTTCCACAAATTCCTTGAAATTCCTCTACGGTCTTTTTGAGAGAGCTGACTATGATTTGTAGCCTCCTACTTGTTTCTCTTCTCCATGACCCCCTTTTGTTGTTTTTGGGAAATATGTTCTCCTGGGTGGCCATGTGGGCTGAGAAATTGACATCACAGTATTACCAGTTGTATCCCAGGGTGGCTGCTCATACTTGAGGTATGTGGTAGAAAGATGAGGGGGGGAGGGGGAAATGGACCCTTTATGCTAAACGTTATTCGAAGGACACAGTAGCAATCCATCTTATTCTGAAAATATAACCTCATTCCATCCCACCCCACCCCTGAATTTCACTGCTGAAAATTCCACTTGAAAACAATTTTCTTCTTTTTTCCCCCTTAAACGATCTGGTCCTTGGTGATCCACTTGAGATGGCATAGAAGCCAATGAAAACGTATCACTGTAATTTAAAGTCAGTCATGGTAGACATAAAGAGTGAAGGGAGAAGAGTTAATTCCAGGGCAGCCTTGGCTGGCTCTGGCTTGGAAGCTGTGATGCTCCTAAAGTCACTCAACAGGACCCAGGATTTCCTTCTCCAATGGCAACACTGATCCTGAAGCACTCTTAGTCTGAGATGGTCTGTGATAGACCACAAAAGTAAACGCAGCAAAAACAACAACAACAACAAAAAACCCCAACAATAAATAAAAGATTCCAAGTCGTGCCACTTAGGATTTGCCAAGTCCATCTAGGGGCCATCCCATAATAATTCAAAATGAGGATCCCCACAGGTGTTGTCTCAAAGTGAAACCCTCTGATGACTCTTCGAAGTTACTAGGGAAAGATGAATGTGTCCATCACCTGAAGTCATGACTGCTCACATTAATGTGTAGTAGGGGGTTGGGAAGAGAAAAGGGACTTGGTTTGGGAAGGAGGTGAAGAAGGGATAGATATCAGCTCTGTCAGTAGCTGAAGAGTTCAGTGAGAGCCACACTATGATATACCCACTGTTCATTGAATGGCAACTTGAGCCAAATTTTGATTTGTGTGTAGATCTTTGGTGTCCAGCTGCATATGACTATTTATTTTGCCTTGGAGGACATGACTAGGAGGATTGAGATTAAATCCTAGGTAAAGGATATAGTCAAAAGCCTAGGTTTTGCTGAAGAAACCTAAAGATGTTTTCTACTGTAGGGTTGTCATGAAACAGGGGAGAGAAACCTTTTTTGGCTTCAGCAACCATGGATGAGATCCAGCTGTTGGAGCATGCTGTACAAGGACTTCTGAAGTCGGGTCAGGGTCACCACCTCTGTGGAATACAGCGAGGCTTCCATGACACCTTCCAAATTCCCCAAAGCACTCAAACCATCAGCTTCTTCGAAGGGACAGCTCTTTAAGGAGCCCAGCAAATGGAGAAGGTCCCTGAGGTTCTCAAGGTCATTGGATATTTGTACCATGTTTCTGGAAGACAGACTGGAAAGGATCTGCTGGTAGATGGCCAAAGTCTGGTCCATGTCTGACAAACTCTGGAAGGGATGAAGTCCTGGGATGAAGTCCAAGCCAGTTACCCTCTGTTTGGCAGAGATTGAGTACTGTGTGAAAGGAAGAGGGAGAGAGTCAAGCACAATCATGGAATCAATTTCCCTTCCCTCTCTGGGCTTTAATTATTAGCATTTCCTAATAGTTTGGGGGAGTGTGTGTGTGTGTGTGTGTGTGTGTGTGTGTGTGTGTGTGTGTGTGTGAATTTTCTTAGATTTCTCCATTTTTCTCCATTTCCACTAGCCCAATCCAGGTCCTCATCACCTCCTAGCTGAAATACTGCAACAGCCTCCTAGCTAGTCTCTCTGCCTCCAACCTCTCACCTTCTTCTGGATAATGTTACTAGACTTCTTGAAATTTTGTTATCACTCCCCTGTTCAAGAGCCAACAATGGCTCCCTATTGCCTAGAGGTCTAAGCCCCACTGCCTCCTTTTTTCCCCCAGTTATCAAGCATTGATATTTTCTCTCTCCTACCATCCTTCCCTTCCACGCTGTGCTATTTTTCAAGGCTCTCTTGCTTTTTGTTGTTAGGTTGTTTCACTCATGTCCTATTCTTCCTGATGTCATTTTTGGGTGGTTTGCCATTTCCTTCCCTAGCTCATTTTTACAAATGAGGAACTGAGGCAAAAAATATTAAGTGAGTTGCCCAGGGTTACATAGCTAATAAGTGACTGAGGCTGGATTTGAACTCAGGTCTTCCTGACTCTCCATCTGGTGATCTATCTACTGTACTGCCTGCTTGCCTTCTTTTTTTCTAGCCCCCATTTTATCAACTTAATCTTAATTTTCCACAGAAAGGCAGGCTGGTATAGTACAAAGAACACTAGATTTGAAGTCAGAGGACCTAACCTTGCTACTTTCTACCTGTGTGATCTTTGGCATTAGAAGTCATTTAACCTCTCAGGCCTCAGTTTCCTGATCTGAAAAATGGGGAGGGGGAAGGTTGGACTAGTTGATATTTAAGATTTCTTTCAGCTCTAAATCCTATAATCCACTAGTCTCCAACATACACCTTTGATCCAGTCAAATCTCCTAAGTATTACATGTTAATTCCCCATTCTCTGTGCTGCTTCATTTGGAATACCCTTCCTTTTCCATTCCCTCTCTTCCCATTCCTATTCCTTCTTCAAGGCCCAGCTTAAGTCTTATCCCTCTCACAGTACTATCCTCAGTAGGAAGAACCCAAGAAGGGCTTAGTAACTTTTTATTGGTTTGAACTGAATTTTCTGAAATAGGTAGACTTGGGATGTTCTGCTCTGGGAAGCACTGAGGATTCCCCCTCTCTGACTGCAAATGGCCAGAACCTCTGGTAGAAATACACATCTGAGTGCTTAGGGAGGTCTCAGCAGGTGATGCCAAAGCCATAGGGTCTCACTGCCCAAGTCCCTTGGTGTGTGCTCTTGTATGAGATTTCTAGAAGCTTGTAATTCAGCCCACTGCCGTACTCTCCCCAGGACACTTACAACACAAGGAAACACAAACATAGACACGTAAAGAAAACCATTCAGGGAATCCGTCACCAGAACTGCACTGCTCTGTAGGTCTCACCTAGCTCTCTTGCCCTCCCCCCAACCATACAGGCAGCCTCAGAGGAGATGTGAGATCAGTGGTTTAGTTTTCCTCATTGTATGAACAGTATTGTACTCTAAGCTTCATCCTCGCCTCCTCTCTTCATCCACTCCCTGGGGGTGTGTCTTCTTCTGGACTTGCATCCCCCACTGGCTTGCCTAAGCTGCTCGTGATCCAATTTCTTAATCAACTAGAGCCTGTGCCAGTCAACATTTCTGACTTAGTCTCTGGACTCAGGTCAAGACTTCCTCAAGAAAAATCAGAGAAAATTGCCCTGCCTCCACTACACATTTCCCTTCAGTTGGCAGACTTCCTCCCCTCAGCTGCTTGCTGTCAAACAAATGGGCCACATAAACTGGGCCCTCACTCTGGAAACGTCAGCCCTTCAGAACCTCATCTAGTTGAACTGGGAGAGTCTGGGGTCTCCAGCTGATTCCTACTTCTCCCTCTTGGGAATTCTCTGCCTTTCTAAAAGCTCCTTCCTAGAGTTGTTGTCTGGATTCACTGACTCTGCCAAGGCTAGAGGCTTGGGGGCACCACAATGGAAACACAGGTTGTGTCTAGTGTGGTACTACCAGCCTTTAGGGGAATCTTAAGCTTTGACTGCCCCCTCACCTCCACGAGTGAGCTCAGGACTCTCTAGTCATCTTTATGGTTTAATATATATGATCAATGTAATCAGATGAAGAATGTTGCCTTTCTCCTGATAAAGAGGTTTTGTACTCAAGATGCAGATTGAAGACACATATTTTTGGACATGGCCAATATGGGAGTTTGTTTTTCTTGACTATGTATATTTGTTACAAAGCCTTTTTTTTTTCTTTTCTCTTTCCAGTGCAGGGGAAGGTGGAAGGAGGAAAAATTTTAAATAAAAAAATTAAAACACATCATTTAAGAAGCTTGTGTGTGTGTGTGTGTGTGTGTGTGTGTGTGTGTGTGTGTGTGTGTTGTGAGGCATTTGGGGTTAAGTGACTTGCCCAGAGTCACACAGCTAGTGAGTGGTATAGTATTTGAGGTCACATTTGAACTCAGGTCCTCCTGAGTGGCTGGTGCTCTATTCACTTTACCACCTAGCTGCCCCAATGGATTTTTTTAAGAAGAAATTTTTTCAATTAACAAGAATTTATTTTCTCTCCCTCTTACCTACTCCATTGAAAAAACAGAAAACCAAAAACTCTTGTGACAGATAAACATAGTCAAGCAATAAAAAATCTACACTGATGTCTTTTGTTTTTACTTCACAGTGATTTCCAGATATACCCTACTCCTAACCTTAATGAGTCCTCCCTTCTAACAAAAACTACAGAAAAATGGAATAAAATCATCCAGCACAGTACTTTTGTGTGACAGTATATGGAACATTCTTCACCCATAGTACCCTACTTCTTTTTTTGTCCTTTTTAAAATTAATTTATTTTTAGTTTTCAACAATCATTTTCATACACTTTTGAGTTTTAAATTTTTCTCCCCCTCCCCACCTCCCTCCCTAAGATGGTGTGCAATCTGATATAGGCTCTACATATACATTCCTATTAAATATATTTACATTAGTCATGTTGTAAAGAAAAATTAGAACCAATAGGAGGAACCACAAGAAAGAGGAAACAAAACAAAACAGAAGAAAAAAAAAAGAGCAAATAATATGCTTCGATCTGCATTCCAACTCCATGATTTTTTCTCTGAATGTGGATAGCATTTTCTGTCATGAGACTTTTGGAGATGTCTTAGGTCCTTGCTAAGTATGGAGGAGCATTTACTCATCTTTTCTCTGGGGCTAAGATGGGCCATTCATTATAATTACTTAACATTCAACTTCTGTTGTCTTAACATGCTCTTTTTGTCTCTGAACCGGCACACTTCATTCTGCCTTCTGGTTGGTCATATATTTCACATCAATCGAAGCAGCTAGATCTCCAGGCATAGTGGTCAGTTGAGTCTTTATTTTGTCTCTTTCTTCTAGCAGTACTATCTCCCCCCACCAAAATGCCTCTCGGTTGGTAGAATTGATGATCTATTCTAAAAATAATCTGCCCCCAGCAAGTCTGGGACTGCATCATTTATAGTGGGGCTGCCCTTAAATAGTCAGAAACTCCGCCTTAAACTGCTAGTAGCTTCCTAGCAGGAGGAACTGCTCATTTGAGGGCTATCTCCCCGCTTCAAATTGCCCTCAATTCAAGCTATCATTGCCAGGACTGGGGCTGTGTCTTAGGAGCTAGTTCATCTGGACTTGGAAATGTCAGGGTTTCCTCTGGTTGCTCCAGGAACGTGGGCCTTCGAACACTAGGGTCTGGGGCAGCAGCCATGCTCCTGTAGCCCAAGGCTCTGGAACCATAGTTATTTGTATGGGGCACTCCTGCTGTGTCACAAGCTAACGACCACCCCCTGTTGTTTTTGCAGCTGCTCACACAGCAAGAGTGTGACCTCCATCAGGCCCTCTAGCACTATGGGGAAGGAAGGATAGTTTCCATAGCATGCTGTTCTTACCATTCAGGCTACAGGATTTCTGTAGCATAAGTACACCCAAGAGAATTAAGGAAGGGTTCTGAAGGTGGTGTTAAGGACCATAGCCATCACCGACCCTGTGACATGGTGTCTTCCCTGCCCAAGTTGTCTGGTACAGCATGTGACTTAAGACTTCATTATCAGGGTCGGTACAACCCATTGCTGTACTCTCCTATCAGGGACACTTTCAACACGGGAGTGCACAAACACAGACAGACAGGGAAAGGTGCTGAGGTAACTCAACTCCCCAGAGCTATATTGCTTTACCACTCATGTGGTCTCCACTCATATGGATTTGAACCCAGGCCTGCTGATTCCCAGCCTACTATAGTTTCTACTATATGACCTAGCAAGAGAGGATCAGAGAAGGTGCACCATGATTGCCTCAAATTTCAGAGAGGCATCAATGCCACAAGCTAGCCACTCTTGCTGCAGACCATGCAGATTAGTCTGGCATATCTAACTCAACCAACTTGGATTTTGGTTTCCTTAATGGTAAATTAGAATTAAGCATGGTTAATATTGGTTATCATTGCCATTGGGTCTATTATTTTCTTTAAGCGACTGTTCTTGCAAACATCTGTCAAAGATAGGGTTCATTTCACTTGTTTTATAACCAGCACCAAGCAGAGGAAGGGTAGATAGGGATGGTGGTCAACATTAATACAGAAGAAAACTAGAGACGAAGAAAGAGGCAGCCATGGGTTCTAGGTCACTCTCTGGGAAGGGAATCCAATCCAGATCCCACCTAGATTCATGGTTCACATTGATACCTTCCCCCTACCATGTGTGAGATGTCATTGATCCTGGTGATGATGGTCTTGGTGAGGGTTTTAGTGTCGTCTTGGACTTTCCGAATGGGCACTGCTTCGCTGTAGTAGAGATGATAGTAAAGCCACAAGAACCCGAACAGAGTCACACAATGCATTTTCTTTTCCAAGGTGGGTGTGCCTGTTTGACCTTGAAGAGAAGAAGGAAGCAAACTGAGGTGCTAGTAGCTCAGGGTGCACCAGGGCAAACCTTACCCCTGACCTCCAAATGTCATTGTTTTCTTCCTTGACTGCTTTCTGGGTCAAAGTCCAGGATAAGTCATTACCAAGAAATATCAGTGGAATACATTCCTTTAGGCAGTGACACAGTAAATAAAGAGAGTGCTGGGCCTGAAGACAGGAAGTCTTGAATTCAAATCCTGCCCCAGACACTTACTAGCTGTGTGACCCTAGGCAAGTCATTTAAACCTCTGTTTGCCTCAGTTTCCTCAACAGCAAAAATAAGGATCATCAACAGAACCTACCTCCCAGGTTTGTTGTGAAGATCAAATGAGATAATATTTGCAAAAAAGTGCTTAGCACAGTGCCTGGCACATATTGGTGCTACATAAATGCTTGTTTTCTTCTTTCCTTAGGAGTTGTGCAGTCTCAGTCCATAAACACTATGGTGGTTTTGTTTTGTTTTTTAACCCCAAACTAATTAAGCATGCAGGGCGGGCATAGGTATAGCCCAGGCGATCTGTTTAACTGGACACTTTTGTTGTTACAACTGAGAACTTGTTTTGTGGAAGGGAGACTCCTTCCTGGACTACAACCTCAGGACCATACCTGTTCTTCTTTTCCTGCCTCTATTTACTCACCATCCAATCCTAAACCTTTTATAGTATGACTTGTTTCTCATCATTCTAATAAAATTGCTTACTCAAAGTTTAGCGCTGATCTCTTAACTGTTAAGATCCCTTTCCCCTTAGTTCTTATCTTCTTAGTCACTTTTAACACTGCTGAACGCCTCCCTGGATGCTTACTTTTCCCTTGGCTTTCTCTTGGTTCTCTCCTGCCTCTCCTCCTACTTGTCTGATTGCTTTTTTATTTGCCAGTTCATTATCTGTCTTCTGACCTTACCTGGACAAAACACATCTTTATCAACTCCCATGGGTTCACTTATATCTGTGTAGATGAATTCCAAATTTATAGAGACAGCTTTACTGCCAAATACCTGCTGGCATCTTCACTTGAATGTCCTCAGGTCTAGCTATGCCCAAAATGTAGCTCCTCATCTTCTCATCCTATACCTGCACCTCCTATAAACTCTATTTTTGATGAGGCCATTTCCATCCTCTCATTCACTTAGAATCATCCTTGACTATTCTGTCTCCTTCATCATCGCCATCTCCATCAGATCAGTTGCCACTTTCTATGGATTCCGTTTCCGTAACATCTCTCAAATCCATCCCTTTCTCTCTCCCCACAAAGATACTCATCACCTCTTGCCATCCTTCAGACTTTCATTGCCTCTCTAAATTGATTTCCATACTTCCAGTCTCTCCCCTCTCCAAGCCATCCTCCAACACTGTTGGAAAGAGAGGTCAGACTAGTCAATAACCTCAATGTTGACTGAGCAAAGTTACACAGTTTGATACTTAATGTGTTCTTTTCTTTAATTAAGTCGGGCTTATGCCAACCTCACAGCAATGCACTCTCCAGTCTCTTCCTATTTGGGATGTTCGCACCTAGAAGGACACTTAACATTTTCTAGTTTGTCCTCCTTCTTGTGAATGTTCTAAGGTAGATGGAGGGGTCTGAGTCAGAGAAACCTAGCTTCAAATTCCACCTCTTAAACTTGTTAACTGTGTACAAGTCACAACTTCTTTGTGCTCTGAGAAATTCCCTGGGGTTTATCTGCTAAGTTACAGATGGGTTTTTATTGCATTGGTGAAGGAATTTACTATACCAGGAGTTCCCTAAATTGATGAAATCACAGACCCTTCGAGTATTTTCAGATTCTAAATATAAAGACCAAAATCTATCTTGTTATGTAAATAAAACTTGTCTTGTTTCACAAGAATCATGAGCCCAACTGAGTAGAAGATGGTATAATTGAGTCAATGTTGAAGAATTACAGAATCTCAGATGGGGCCAACTCCAGTCATCCTGGTCTATATCTGGCCACTGGACCCAAATGGCTCTGAAGGATAAAGTGAGGCTGGTGACCTTGTGCAGCCCTCCCTCACTTAAATCCAATTCACTTGCAAGTCATGGCATCACCTCTTTGATGTCATGGTCTTCCTGGAGAATAAAGGACAAGCCACAACAGTATCTTCAGATCTATTATCTCCAGTTGTGCTGACCTATGTCTTGCCAATAGACTCAGCCTCACTTCAATCTAATTCACTTTCATCACCCTCCTGATGTCATTGAGCCTCTCTGAGAAGGAAGGACGAACAAAAACAGCAGCAGCAACAGCAACAACAACAGAATCGCATAATCTGGGTTGGAAAGGGATGATGCAAGGCCTTGCACGCCAGTGCCTAATAATTTGTCATCCAACCACTGCTTGAATACCCCCAATAACGGGGATCTCATTAATCTTATGAGGCAAGCCATTTCACTTTTGGATAGCTTTAATTGTTGGGAAGTTTGTTCTCATATCAGTTAAAAAGTATTTGTTAAGCACCTACTATGTGCCAGTTACTGTGCTAAGCACTGAGGATACAAATAAAGGCCAAAATGTTTTATGAGTACTCAAAGAGCTGGCATTCTAATAGAAGAGACAATAAACAAATAACTATGTACAATGTAAATGGAAAGTAATCTCAGAAGGAAGACACTAGCAGTAGGGGCAACTGAGACAGCCCCGGTGCAGAAAGTGGGATTTAAGGTGGGTCTTGAAGGGAATATTGAAAGGAAGCCGGGAGGCAGAGGTGTGGAGGGATAGCGTCTCACACATAGGGAGCCGGGATGACAATGCTTGGAGTCAGTAGAGGGAGGCTCATATAGGAAGAACAGCAAAGAAGCCAGTGTTTCTGGGTTGCAGATTACATGGAAGTGAGTAAAATGTAAGGAGGAGCCAGATTATGAAGGATTTTAAAAGCCAAACAGAATTTTAGGCTTGATGCTGAAGGTAATAGGGAGCCCCTGGGCTTTATTGAGTAGAAGGGTGACAGTCAGATCTATGCTTTAGGAGGATCAGTTTGGTAGCTGAGGGAAGGATGGGTTAAAGTGCAGAAAGACAGGGATCAGGGAAGACCAACCAGAAGACTAGAGGAATATTCCAAGGATGAAGCTGTGAGGGCATGTACCACATTGGTGGTTGGTCGAGTTGGGAGGTGTGAGAGAAGGGGACTTACGTGGGAAGTTGTGAAGGCAGAAATGACAAGTGCAGGGGCAGAAGTGAAGAGTTGGAGACGACACTGAAATTGTGAACCTCTGTCTCCAGGAGGATCATGATGCTCTTTGTAGCAGGAGGGAAGTTCAGAAGAGGAGAGGATTTGAGGGGGAAAGCTGAGTTCTGTTTTGGGCATGTTGAGTCAGAGACGCCTAGGGAGCGTCCATATGTAGATGGATGATGATTGAACTCAAGGAAGCTAGAAAGATCACTAATTAAGAGAATGCAGAATGAGAAAAGAAGAGACTCTTGGGAAACACTCGTGGTTGATAAGTGTGACCTGGATGAAGATCCAGAAAAAGGAAACTGAGAAGGAGTGGTTGGACAAGTAGGAGGAGAACAGAGAGAGAGAGAGAGAGAGAGAGCAGAGTCATGAAAATCTAGAGAGGAGAAAGTATCCAGGAGAAAAGGGTAGTAATCCAGTGTAGAGGCTGCAGAGAGCAGAATAAGGATTAAGAAGAGGGTAGTAGATTGGCCAATTAAGAGATCATCCATAACTTTGGAGAGAGCAGTTTCAGTTGAATGATGACATCAGATCCAGATTTTGGCCTTTTTATAAATTAATGAGAGGACAGGAAGTGGAGGCAGGATATGGTAGCACTTTTTTATTGGTCAATGGATGTAAGGCTGTCCTGTGAGACAAGTTTTTATTGGATTATTTGGGTTTAGCTTTACCTCAAAAATCATTCCAGTGGCTAGAGTCCTATTTCTGAACTCTCATCCCTGTGGCAAGATCCTTGATCCCCACCTTGCTCTTCTTGTTTTCTGCCCATCTACAATGACCTCTGCCTATTGCTTGTTTACTGCCCCTGCAGTAGCCCTGTCCCGTCAGCCAACTCAGATAGAGCTCCACGGTGGCTTGGTTAATTTCCTCCCTGATCTTTCCTAGCTAACCCTAAGGTTTCTTCCCTGCCTGAGGCTAAGGTCGAACAATAAGGTAGCAAGTTATGTAAATATTTTCACTGCTGGCACTTTAAGTTTAGAGTTTTGTGGGGGGGTTGGGAGAATAAAGGGCTTTCAGAATTAGGACAGTCTTTCCAGATCAAAGCAACATAGGACTGTGAATGGGGAGTGGGAGGTTTTACTGACAGAGAAATCAAGACAACTTGTAGGAGAGCCAAGAGCCTACAGCCCACTGGGCGATTTTTCCATCCACCCAAAGCCATTGTGGGCGTTGATGGCAAGAGGGAGGATCCGACTCTCAGATTGGCCCTAGAACTAGTCTGCCCAGATGCTAGTCTGAAGCCAAGGCTAGCCCCCATCCATGTTCTCATTGGGAGACAAATATAGGTTAGATAAAACTGTCGACTTTTGTACGCAGTAAAAATACTGACTTTATCTTGGCTTCAACTATGGCCACCAAGCCTTGTTTCCTGCACTCTTTTTGCTTAAAATATTTCCACATGTTATTCTTTTCATCCAAATATTTTAAAGAGGAAATAGCTCAATCAACAAGTATTTATTAGTGTACCATGTAATGTTCTAGTCCCTGGACCATATAGACAAAAGTGATACTGTTCTTGTCCTCAAGTCTACTGGGGGAAACAGTAAGCATACAAAATATATACAAGGCAATGGGGAAGACACACTAACAATGTGGTTCAGGTCCCTTTTCTGACAAAGATTAACTGTGTAATACGGGGCAAGTCATTCAACCTCAAAGAGGGGGGACTTAAACTGCTGAAGGCCAGCTCTATATCCAAAAAATTATGAAAAATTTGGCCAAATTTGTCTTTAGGCTTCCCCTAAGCTTTCATCTTCCCCTCCAACACATCCTACTGTGACATAGGAACCTTAGTGACTTC